CACCAGCAGCCCGGGGTTTAAGAAACATTGCTCTCTATATTGCGTTCACCAGCCAGATAGGTTGAAATGGACCTACAGTCACCCCCCTCAGAAAAAACATCCGTAAATTGGTTTGAATCGCTGGGGGAGGCCACATCCTCCCCCCAAATAATTCAGAGTAAATAATTCCCCCAAACATTGCTCTGTGAACATCTTTGTCTTGTTTTGCCCCATAATAAGACACATTTAGTGGAAACAGACCTTAAGGGTTCCATCTGAAGTCAGGCCCCCCAGGAAGACAAGACCTAATATTTGTGGGAAAACAGTCCTCTTATTCGGCGGGTTAGCAGGGAGTGGTCCAAAAAGTCAAGATGGCCCCTGCCCCAGTGCAGTCCACGTTCTTCTACACAACGTCCCACCAGGAGCACCATGTCGGATTTTTTAACCACGCCCTGCTGACCCCCCCCCCACTGCTTACGTGTACTTTCATTGGACCCCCTTTTCCTTAAATCTGGTTTCTCGCCCCACCTGGGGGTCTTGCTCTTTCAGCCGGTGTGGAAGGTGACCCAGCGGCAGCTGACCATCACCGTGAAGAAGAAGGAGAGCCACTGGTGGGAACGGCTGACCAAGCAGGAGAAACGCCCGGTGTTTCTTGCTCCGGATTTCGATCGCTGGCTGGACGAGTCGGATGCCGAGTTGGAACTGAGGGCCAAGGTATAAAGCCCGGCGGCTCACGTGGCTGCTTGTGGACACCCCGGGCTTGGCGGGAGAGGACTCCTCCTCCAGGCCGGCTGAGGAAGTTTTCAGCGCAGACCCCACCAGGACCCCTGTCCTACCCAAGGGGCTGATCATGTGTGAATGCTGCTGTAGACTGCAGTGTCAGCGCTGTGACCAAGAGCAGGGAAGGCCGAACAGAGGGAATCCGTCCAGGGCTGACCAGGCACCTTTGATTGTTCGCAAGTATTTTAAAAAGCACCTCTCGTAAAGGGTGACAGGTATCTAACTTGGTTACCCAGTGAGCTCCTTCTCTGAGTTTGTATGCTTTTGCGTCCTAAGGCTGATGTGTGAATGCAGGCATTGGGTTTGTGACCCGCTTAAATAGCTCGCGCGAATCAAGCCACCGTGTCCATCACGATTCTTGTTTTAAGCAATTAAACCTTGATTCTTTGTCTCGAAACCCAGCTTTAATTCCATGCCTGTTTCCGCCTTCCAGATGAACAGGATTAAGAGCAGAGTTGCAGTGATGCCCACTTTGGGAGGCAGGGTCAGTGGTGCAGATAAAGTGCGTACACCGATGCGTTAAGAGTGGCCCTGAGAACCTCTGGGAGAGGGCGCCTCCTAAGCTCGTCCCTGTTGCTTCCTCTTGGACTGTTCTGGCTGCTCTTCCCTGGGAAGAACTGGAGATGCGTGCCAGGGTAGTGACACGTCCTGTGTGGCTGTATTGCAACACGCTGTAACTTGTCAAAGGCTTGTGGTGCCCAAATTGTCAACCCAAAGCTTCTCTTTCACATCTGACCTCAGTTCCCTTCAGAAACCTGGTGGCCGCATCCAGCTGCAATTTCGAGATAAAAGTTCTGTGCCCTACAGGGTGGTGTAAGCCTAGGCATAAAACCCCTTAAGATTGTGGGTCTTAAGTGTTGCGATTGAAAACTGGTGCAGCTGTCATAGAATATTGTGAATTTGCCCCAGGCAACTCTGGGCGGCACCCTGGCATTAAATTAAAAAAATAGAATGAAAAAAAAAGCCCAAATCTTTCAACGTTAACAAATCTTGTGCAATATCGGTGTTCTTATGTAAGGTCTCGTAACATTTCATAGTTCTGAAATTTCTTGACATTTTAGTGCTCAGCTGAGATGATGCAAGATCAGCAAAACCTTGCAAGATCGTGCCTGCCTTTTGAAAAAATATTTTTGGCCCCTACACAGTAGAACCCGGGGTGTGAAAAAGTTGCCAACTCTTGTACTCACCTTGTACTCCAACCCTTGGCATTTGGAAAAGAGGAAGGGCTGAATGTGGGCCTCTCAGAAGCTCAGGGCAATGTGCCAGCCTTCAGCTTAAATTGGGCAAAAAGTGATTTTTTTTCCCCAGGGGTGCAAAAGTAGGACTTGAACATGAAAGGATCCTTCTGTGTAGCTGCAATCGTCTTAAAAATGCCCTTTATTAATGTGACTCTAATTCTCAAATGATGAATCTCAAAATAATGCAAAATCTACAGAAGCAATTAAAATAGTCCAGCATTTCAGAAATAATGGAACAGGCTGATTTAAGTTAAACGGATAACCCATTGCATATTTAAGAGCAATATAAAAACACCAAACAATTTTATTTATTATTCAGCAGATGTAAACATCACCCAGCCATTGGTTGTGGACTATAAAAAAAAAAAAAGATTAATGCTGATACATTTCATTAAATATTGACACTTTAAAAGCTGAGTGAAAAGGCATGTTTTGGGGTCCCCTTCTATTATTTTTTAAAAGGCATTTCCTCCAAAAGGAACCACGTGGCATCAAAAATACTTGAGTGGAATTAGGTCTATAACTGGCAAAAGAAACTAAGGGTTTTCTAAAGTGACTTGCCATTCATAGCATCTAGTATTCCAATTTTCCAGCTAAACTCTTCTTCCAAAACAATATCCCATACTCATTTAGAGAATAAATGTTCTTTGGTTTTCAAATTTCCTTAAGAGGAAGAACATTCTTCGAGCGATTATTGCAAACGGGCCCAGTTCCCAATGAATCGATGTTTGAAGTTATGGGCTTAGCTAGGATTCTTCAGGGTGAAGGTTAGAATTTCAGCATGTTCTAATGATCAAAGGAAGGTGATCACCCCACATTGTAATAGTCTTTCTCAACCTAATGCCCCCCAAGATGTCTTCTCCATGTTAACTAAGAATTAGGTGGATTAGAGTCTTCCCAAATGGAGGGCATCTGGTTTGGCAATGGTCTTCTTTCCACTCTAACGTTCCTCTGGGCAGTATAGCCAAAATCTAGAATTAATATGGTGAAGCTGTAGAGATAAGCTGTAGAGATACCTTCATCTGCCAACTTTGTGGATTGTCATGTGTTTTTCCTGCTGTAGGCTTTTTGAGTCGTGGGTCCCAGTCCATTTGAGGTACAAAGAGCAGCTAGTTACTTGCAGATCAGTAATGTATCAACAGCAGTGCCAGATCCCTTCTCATTCAGTGTGGATGGGAGGTACCAGTTTTCATGCTTCCTCTCTCTTTCTACCTTCTAGGAAGAAGAACGGATAAACAAAATCAATGTAAAGAACAGAATCCCCAAAGATCGTAAGTGGCTCTACTTCGCTGCTGGCCATCTGGTGCAGGTCCAGGGCCTTCTGCCCTTGGTCCTTTGCTAACTTTGTCCCATAATCCCTTGCAGCTTTCCGACACCTGAAGAGAGGATATTTGTTCGTGTACAACCTTGTGCAGTTCCTGGGCTTTTCATGGATCTTTGTGAACATGACAGTTCGGCTATTCATGCTGGGGAAAGGCAAGTGGCACAGTCGGGGTTCCCCTCCTTCTCTATTGTGTGCTGGTGCCCAAGAAGCTAGAATGGGTTTAAGGGAGAGGTGCCTTGCAAGACCCATGGCTTGCTCCACTCCAGGCCGTGTTCCAGCTTTCATAGTTGCTCCCTTTGGGAAAGCCATAGCTCAGTGGAAGAGGACTGTGTTTCTTAAGCAAAGAATTCCAGGGGTAATTCCTGGCAGTTCCACTTTCATAATACTTTGGATAACGGGTCTGAGAGAAGATCTGGAGAAGCCACTGCTGGTAACGTAGGCTACACATCTTAACCTTGCCAAGGTTGAGAAACCCTGACTTAGAATAATAAAAACAGCTCACATGAAGTATAAAATCATTATATCACTAAAATCTATAAATAAACTATGTTTAATATTGATATTGTGCCTAAAGGGAATATAATAGCATGGCATAGAATGGGAACAATCTGTAAAGGAGTGATTATGACTTAAAGGCTAAAGAGTTTAAGTGCAAACCAGACTAGTTTTGACTAATCAAGAAGGGTTTCAAACTTGAAAGAGGTTGTTCCAGGTTCAGAATGGTTTGAATGGAAACCTTTTGCAGACCGTTGCTGATGAGCGTCCACGCGTGGGGGAACCAGTCATTCCAAACCTTGAGATCTGGATGCGCAACTCTTCTAAGAGTCCATCCTGGGGGTTCAGTTCCCCCTGGATGACTGAGAATCTTCAACATATTTTTCAGTGAAACTCTTCTATTCTTGCAGACTCCTTCTCGGATACTTTCCACATGAGTGGGGACATGATGTACTTCTGCCAGATGTTTGCCTTCATGGAGATTGTCAATGCCTTAATAGGTCTCGTGAGAGCTCCTTTGACTCCGGTTTGTTTCCAGGTAATATCTTTGCAAGCCACTTTGGAAAGCATAAAACTCCTTTTTGGCAGGGCTGGCTAAAGATTAATTTTATCAATGCAAGATATCAACCAACAGCTCATTCATATTTTCTGTCCTGGAGTAGAAATAACAAAGGATGACGTGCCGCATCAGAGTGCTTGCCAGCGTTTCTCTTGAGTGTGCCTTGGGCAACTAACAGTGCACAAAGTTTTGTAGTATAGTCTGAGAGATCTCCCAAAACCTTTTATGCTTCATTAGAGGAAATTTGGTGTAGTGGTTTAAAGCACCAGGCTAGAAACCGGGAGACGGTGAGTTCTAGTCCTGCCTTAGGCATGAAGCCAGCTGGGTGACTTCAGGCCAGTCCCTCTCTCTCAGCCCCAAGAAGCAGGCAAGGGCAAACCACTTCCAAAAAGCCTTGCCAAGAAAACTGCAGGAACTTGTCCAGGCAGTCTCCAGGAGTCAAAAACTGACTCGAAGACACAAAATTAGGGGAAATACATTTACCTGTATTTCAATTTATACAAAAACAATTGAATAAATAATTACGTTTGGGGAAGGCAGTTTTCAGATTAACAGGGACTAGAAGGAAGACCTTGGATGGCAAAACACATACTTTCTGTAGATGGAGGGTAAGTTCATGATGAAGAGATCACCTAAGGGTCACCCATTGGGGGAGACAGGCGGCATACAGATTTAATAATAAATAAAGTAAATAAAATTATGTAGATCACTGTTTATCAACTTTGGCAACTTTAAGATGGGTGGACTTGAACTTTAACATTTTTAATTTTTTTCTGAATAATTGTTTTTCATATGTTAACTGTTTTATAGTTTTATTGTATGCTGCCCAGAGTCACTTTTTTGTGAGATGGGCGGCCATATAAATTTAATGAATGAAGAAATAAAGAAAGAAACTTCCAGAACTCTGCAGCCAGCATGCTGGCTAAGGAATTCTGGGAGTTGAAATCTGTACATCTTAAAGTTGCCAAGGTTGAGAAATACTGGTGTAGATGACCCTTTTTCAGCTTGGTGCCTCCAGGTGGGATAGACCTTAGAAGAAGTTTCCCCTGTTCTGCTGCCCACCAAATTCTTGATTGTGGTTCATTTACCTAGAGCAGTTTTTCTCAAGGTTGGGAACTTTAAGATGTATGGACTTCAACTCCCATGCGGGCTGGGGAATTCTGGGAGTTGAAGTCCACCCATTTTCAAGTAGTCAACATTGAGAAACACTGACCTAGAGAATTTCCTCCCACCTCCTGGAGAAGGAAGACAAACCCCACTGAGGTTTGTTCATTGTTCACAATGTACATTTTGAGCGTCTGATCTCAGAGAAGGGCCAAATCTCTCTCCCATGACAGACCTTTCTGCCCCTTTCCAGGTCCTTGGGAGGAATTTTGTATTGTTCGTAGTTCTTGGAAGCGCAGAAGAAATGCAAAGCAAAGCGGTGGTCTTCTTTATCTTCTACATTTGGAGCATGGTTGAGATCTTCAGGTATTTGGGGTGGGATGGGCCCATTTTACCTGAAATCCTTGGTAGAACTCTTGCCTGTGGCCATCTGTACATTACTGTCTTTGGGTCCCTCCAAACAACCCCAACTTTTTCGTGTAGCCTTAGCTTAGCCGTTTTATTTCCATTTGCACGTCTCATCAATGCAACCGTGTCTTCTGCTTCAGCTCTTACTGGTTGCAAACAGAGGTTGGTAGTTTGGTCCCCAACAGTTCAAAGAAAAGCTCTAATGGGTCCCCTTTCCTTCTCCTGAAGGGCAGCCTTGCACCAGGTAAGCAGTAAGAGATCACTGATGTCTGGGGGTCTCTTCTAGGTATCCATACTACATGCTTTCCTGCATTGATATTGAGTGGAAAATCCTCACCTGGCTTCGATACACCATCTGGATGCCTCTCTATCCTCTGGGGATCTTAGCAGAAGGTATGCAGGAAAGATGTGGGTGAATCCTCTTGGCTACGTGGTTAACGCTGCTCTGAGCTAGGTGACGGTACAGGCTGGGAAATCTTTTTTTTTTCTTTATAATATTTTATTGAGATTTTAAAGATACATATTTAAAAGTTAGAAATGAAAA